ATCATCATCGCACGCTTTTATCATCACCTTCCTCATCATCATCATAATTGGCATCATCTTCAACGCTGAGCAGACTCTTAACATTTTTTTGTCATAATCATTTTCTTCTTTCTCGTCCCCATCATCAAAGCGCGTTTTTGAAAACCATGTGTTAGTGAATGGCTATCAATCAATTTGATATATCAATTTATTTTATTACTCAGAAAATTTCTAGTTTTGAAACTGAATTTTGTATGTTTAGGTGTCATCAATGTTGTTGCTCATTTTTATGTACATTAATATTTTTTAAACTCCTCCTTCTTTTTCATTAAAATTTAGCATTCTACTTTTTCTCGTAAGCGGTAAAATGTTTGTCCACCCATTCCAAGCCACCACTCAAACGATACTTATTACTTTTTGTACATCAAGTTACGCAGAGTTTTAATTTTTTGACACACACAAAAAAAATGAAATTTTTTTTTTAGATATTTGACCTTGCCTCAAGAAATATAGAGAGAATATGATGAAGTGCCTTTGAAGCTCAGTTTTAAAACAGTTTTGGACATTAAATTTTTTTTAACATTCAAACTTTTTCAAATTTATATTTTTTACATTTTTTTAAACTTTTTTTCTGAAAATCTAGCTTTATGAAGTTAAAACTTATAAACTAATTCATATATAACAATTTCAATACTTGATCTACTTTATACTGGTATTACAAAACAAATAAAAAAGTTACTAAAAAATACCTTTACGAAAATGACAAGAAACAAATTGCCAGAAGGAGGAGTGTATGCTAACCAGCATGGCTGTAAAAACTATTTCAGAATAAGCACATAAATATTTGAAGATGAAGCGAGGTAAGAATAAAAATGAAAGATAAGAAAGGAATCAACAGTAGAAATGAATTTGTTTGTTTTATTGCCTTCCAGCATATAGAAAGATGTGCATCAATTGAACGCACGCATGGATACAAATATTTCCTTTCCGATAAAAAGGGACAACGATGGTTGTGTGGCTGCTAGGTTTCATTCGTCCGTCTGTCTGTCTGTCTGCTTGTCTACTTGTCTACTTTCGTCTGTCATTGTTGTTGTCTTCGGTTATTGCTTGTTGATATTGATTATTTATCTGTTTTTGCTATCTGTTTGTCTTAACATTTGTTTTTTAAAATGTAAATTTGACAAATTTTGCAAAAATGTTTGTGTTAACAGTGAATGATGACTAATAGACGCATATTCACATGCATGTCGCAAGTAGTTAACTCGAAACAATTCAAACTTTGTCTTGAAATGACGGATTTTAAAAATCATTGATGTTGGTTTGGCAATAAAACAGTTTTGTGATGATTTGTTATCACAGACAGATCATAATTGGTCGAAAGCGTAACAATTTAAAAATAAAATTGCCAAGATGACGTAAATTTGTTGATAAAAACAGCAATAACAACATTTGTTGTGATAAGAATTGTGAATCATTTGGAAAATATAACAATCAAAGACTTGCAACAGATATACAGTGTTGCATTTTTCAATTTTGCTTGTATGTGAAGTGGAAAATGAATCAAAAACTGGACAAGATATTTGTCGGTCGTCAATTAAGTCTTGTGTTTTGAAGTTCCTCATAAAGACAATCATCTAAACAATTCCTGAAGTAAAATTGGAGGAAAAAAAAGGATAACATTTCCAAATTTTTTGCGAAAAATTGGATAGCAGGTATACATATGTGTGTGTGGTGTGTGTGTGTGGTGTGTGTGTGTGTGGAATGGTATAACTGGAATGAACAAAACATATATTAAAGCATCTACAGAAGCATGCCACGCCAACACGTGCCTAATCAGACGAACAAACAAACAAACAATCAGACGAAAAATTTTATGAATATTTATTTGTTAACATTTGATTTTACAATGGAACAACGGCATAAAACTCGCGCGACATTACGACGGCGATGGTTGGAATCCACGCTGAACTTGTGAACGATTTAAACAAAATGAGATTATGCGAGGCACCTTGCTGATGTTATCAAATTATAAAACAATTTATGAAAGTTTCGCTATCGTTCTTCCCATGCTTCTTATGGAAAATATGCGCATTACGTTTCAAATGAAATAAAAAAAAAAATATTTTTAGATGATGTTTTTCCTTGAACTTAAAAGGAGAAGATTAATTGCACACGTTAACACAATCTTACCTTAAATTAATGTCATTAATGCAACGATGAATGTGATAATGTTGATATTGATGATAATTATTTAATAACAATTATTGTACCGTTGTTGGTCGGTAGAATATTACGTGATGTGAAATAAAATATGAAATAAAAAAAAAGTGATGTGAAATAAAATTGTCAGTTTGTTAGAAAACCAATTTGTCAATTGTTATTTTCTACATTGTTTTTCTTATAGCCAGGTTATCGTGCTGACTCGAGACGAGACGTTGTCTCGAGCTGAGATGTTGTCTCGAGACGAGATGTCTCGAGACGAGATGTCTCGAGACAAAATGTTGTCCTCGAGATGTTGTCTCGAGACAATCCTGCTTGTAGCACTGTGGTCATAGATTAAAGTTTGTCTTTTCAATTTTCGTTACTAAAAAAGACAAACTTTAAATTGATTAATGGCAACAATTTGGTAGAATTCATACAATACTGTATAAAATATAGTCTCCTTCCAACGTTCAAAAACACGGCCACTTGTGAAAAATACCAAGAATAAAACCGCGTAGATACGCGCAGAAAGGATCTCCACACCTTCTTCAAAAACTGGATCAATTACAGAGGTAGCAAATGAACCCTCAACCAACCACTGATCAAAACTGGAGTAGGCATACCGCCGATGTTATGTAACGTTCCGATAAATATGAGCACAAACCAACCTAATTCAGATGCGCTTTTCACAGTTCTGTCACGATTTTGAGACACCAAATTTCTAACATTTGATAGAGAACCTAAATTACCGTGAGGTACTTACATGCATTCACATGCATGCAATACACATACATGCGTAGATATATGGCATTTAATTAATTTATTATTTTTTACCACGTATTCTCATTTTGATTTACAGCGTATATAAGAGCAACAGCGATCCCAGTCATCCACAGAAAGCCGCTACCAACCAACCCCATGTGCATTAAACAAGACGCGCACAAAAGTGATTTATCACGATGCAGAAAGAAAAAATTTAAAAATATGTAGAGGCAAAATTTATAGTCTGCATTGAATGATTAGAAATTCGCAGGTGAATTGTAAAAGTAGTGGAAAACAGTTATAAAATATAAATCATTGTTTTTAAAGCGGTCAGAGTTTTTAATTATCATCTAAATAAATATCCAAAGTTTGTACTGTTCATAATTTTGACCAAAAAATAAGCGATAAAATTTTAAATTATTTAGCACTGATGTGATGAAAATTATATCGAAACTCTAAGATATGTGGTCAACAAAATTATTACAACAAATTTTAATAAATATTTTAAGTTCTATTCACATTTTCAGGTCATATCTACTCTCATGGGGAGAATTTGATAGGCGAAAATAAAATTTAATGAATAGAAAACCTAATTGAATTCGCCAACTAAGACTGTACAAATCAAACTTAACCTCTCAGCAGTACGTGATGAAATTATCCAGCAACCTAACTTAACTAACGTTCTCCTCACTCATTCTATTTCTATTTATTTTATTTGTTTTCCTCTTCGTCTTTTTCCTCTTCTTCACGAATCGTGACTGGTGCACTTGAAATTGTTGAATGATCAAAAAAGGGTAATGGCTCTCAACGCAAGCGTGCTGTCAATTTTTTATTCACCTCGCCTCTTTGATCAGAATCTCCATTTGGAAGCTTTTAACATTATTTTATTTTATTTCATATTATTTTTTATTTCATATTCATCCTTAAATTACGTTTAACTGTTTATTAGTTGTGCAAATCAAACTGTGAAAATCAAATTGTGCATTACCCAAATTAAAAAATAGAGCTGCTCTAGCGCTTAATAACAATAATAATGATGATAAGGTTTAAACTAATGAATAATAAGGTTTAGATTCATTAAATTGATCAATGGCAACAATTCGGTAGAATTCATACAATATTGTACATATATGAACGTGTATGCTATAATGTATAATGTATTTAAGTTTATATGTGTTTGTATGTATATATATATCTCACAAGCGCAATCGAAAAAAGAAAAAATAATAAATAAACAGTGAAATAATTTACATTCTATCAATAAACGATATGATACAATCAATTACAATCGTTCACGGCAAATAGATAAGTTTTCAAATTATTTTGAAATTAACAATGTTCATCTTTGACATTTTCATCGACATTGGCAGACTATTTCAGACGATTGGTCCCGACACTGCAATGTCTCTAGACGATGTCTGCAGCTGCGTAGTTGGTACATTCAACAAACTGACGTCATCTGATCGCATGCGTCTGCCAGTCGAAGACAACGGCTTCTTTATGAATCTATCAGCCAGGTATTCTGGGAGTTGTCCGTTTATGGCCTTGTACATAATGACGCATATTTTGTAAAAAATATATGTATGTATGTATGTATGTATGTATGTATGTATGTATGTATGTATGTATGTATGTATGTATGTATGTATGTATGTATGTATGTTTGTATGTATGTATGTATGTATGTATGTTTGTATGTATGTATGTTAAAACCAAAACATGATGAGTGACACTGAACCGTCAAACATCAAGTAACAAATGGATTAACACTTTGTATGTATGTATGTATGTATGTATGAATGTATGTATGTATGTATGTATGTATGTATGTATGTATGTATGTATGTATGTATGTATGTAAAAAATGGCTGCCAGAAAGGTCGTTGTTAGCAAAATTTTGTATTTTTTAACTAATAATATTAATTTGCTCGAAAATGAAGTGTTTATTTGTAATACTGCTGATTTCTATACCAATGACGATATTGTAGCTGCTTCGAAAATTTTGAAAAGTGAGTTCGTTAACCTGAAATGTGAAAAAATTGAAAAATTGTTAACAAATGGCACTCAAAAAAAAGGACAAATTGGTGGATTGCATTGAGCTATTGAAAAATATGGTAGCAGCTAACATGTTGGACAAGCTCCCTTTATTTGTCAGCTCAAATATGTCCAAGATACCTAATTTCGAAAAATGTTTTCAAATAAATTTTGAAATATTGAAAAACGAAGTTAGAGACATGTTGAACAAACAACATGTTAATATCTCAGCTTTCATTGAAAAGTGCAGCGAAGAATTTGCCGCGCTGAAAGGGAAAACAAACTATGTAGAGTGCAATTTAAAAAGTATAAAAAATCGTAACGACTGTAGTAATGAAACTTTGAAATTGAATACAGCTGCAAATAATGATTTGATGCAAAAACCAATTTTATGGTCTGATGCAATTAAAATACCAGCTGAGGTAAATGTGCTGCCACTTACAGATAAAATACCAGTTGAGGTAGATGCATCACCATTCACTGTTTTAAACAGACCGAGGAAAAACCAAAACAAAAATATTCCTGAAATGAAGAGTGATGAAAATATCATTGCAACAACAAAATCTTTGAAACAAAAAACATCAAGTCGCTACGATGACTTACCAACAAAAATTGTCGTCTCTACGATTCATTCTACTGTGTTTGTTCTAGAATATTTGATAAATCTATCTTTTGAAAAGGGCAAATTTCCAAGCTGTCTCAAAATCGCCAAGGTAATTCCTATTGAAAAAATTAAAGGAAAAACAGATTTATCAAATTTTCGCCCTATATCACTCTTGCCAGCATTTTCAAAAATACTTGAAAAACTAATGCACCGACGAATGACTAGTTTTTTGCAAAAAAATAATATTTTGTCAAATTCCCAATTTGGTTTCAGAGAGAAATTTTCTACAGAATTAGCAATCGTAGAACTAGTTCGCAAGATTGGCATCAATACTGAATGTAAGAGATTTGTCATTGGAACGTGCTTAGATCTGTCGAAAGCATTTGATTGCATCAACCACGACATCATGCTCAACAAGTTGGAAAAGTACGGTTTTAGAAATACATCACTGCATTGGTTTCGTAGCTACTTAACAGAAAGAAAACAGTTTGTCTATGTGAACGATGAAATTTCCAGTCTGCTCGGAAACAACAACGGTGTGCCTCAAGGAAGCATCCTAGGTCCTTTGTTATTTATATTGTACATAAACGATCTTCCAGCTGCATCAGCGTTTTTTGACTACGTAATTTATGCTGATGACACGAATGTTTTTAGCAGCGGCAGATCAATAAAAGAACTTATTGAGGAAACAAACAGAGAGTAAAAAACATAATCTCTTGGTTCGAAGCCAATAAACTTTCAATTAACAGTTCAAAAAGCAAATGATGGTTTTTGAACCCGAATTGTGAAACAAGTGTTTAAAACTTCTAGGCATGCTGCTCGATCAGAAACTCTCCTTCAAACATCACATAAAACAAGTATCATCAAAACTTTCAAAGTCAATAGGAATGATAAACAGAGTAAAATCATTTTTGCCAAAAAACTGTTTGAATCTTCTGTATAATTCCCTGTGCATTCCGTTAATAAACTACTGCAACATTGTATGGGCTTCATCGTACCACACATCAACCTTACCAATAGAAATATTAATCAAAAGAGCAGTTAGATTGATAACGAGATCCAAACGATTTGAACACAGCCAACCATTGTTCAACAGCACGCGAAACTTGAATTTCTCGAAACTCAGCATTTACTTTCTGATAATTTTTGTTTATAAACAGTTAACCAATCGATTACCTGATTTATTTAACAGTTATTTCAAGATGAAACAACAATGTCGGCAACAAAATAATCTTGTCTCTAACAAATCGAAAACAAATATTTTGTTCTCTCACGTGTATTGCAAGGGACCGAGAATCTGGAACGAAATTTTAAAACAGTGGATTAAATTTGAAATTATTTCCGTAAACAAATTTTAAAAAAAAGTAAAAAGAATTTTAAAAAAGTGGATTAAATTTTAAATTAATTTCGTAAAAAAATTTTAAAAAAAAGTAAAAAAAAAATAACTAAAGTTTAAAACAAAAATTTTTGGTTTTGAAAATTACGTTTAAATTCTGTTGAAAACTTATAACATTTTAAAAATAGGGTCAAGGTGGTCACACTCGATGAGTTTCTGAAAAGAACTCTAGTGTGGTCGTCCTGTCTTCTTCCTATTGATATAAAGGGGAGAGAATTCTTTTTTTCTCTTTTTTTAGATTAATTTTGAGAAGCAAATAAAAATTCGTTTCGTTTCGTTTCGTTTCGTATGTATGTATGTATGTATGTATGTATGTATGTATGTATGTATGTATGTATGTATGTATGTATGTATGTATGTATGTATGTATGTATGTATGTATGTATGTATGTATGTATGTATGTATGTATGTATGTATGTATGTATGTATGTATGTATGTATGTATGTATGTATGTATGTATGTATGTATGTATGTATGTATGTATGTATGTATGTATGTATGTATGTATGTATGTATGTATGTATGTATGTATGTATGTATGTATGTATGTATGTATGTATGTATGTATGTATGTATGTGTGTATGTATGTATGTATGTATGTATGCCAAAACATGATGAGTGACACTGAACCGTCAAACATCAAGTAACAAATGGATTAACACTTTGATTTGTCGTTAATTGCACATGTCGGCATTCAGTTGGATATTTTCAGGCACACAGACACGCAGGAACCGCTGCAACAAGCACGAAATGTGGTTAGTTGCGATAAACAGTTCCCTGCTGTCGCCTGATCTGACGCTGATCATTTTACATATTGCCTTAAGAAAGTTGTATGTATGTATGTATGTATGTATGTATGTATGTATGTATGGATGTATGTATGTATGTATGTATGTATGTATGTATGTTTGTTTGTTTGTATGTATGTTTGTATGCATGTATGTATGCATTGCATATGCATCTAAACTTAGCACTGGGCCAGTTGTATAAATATTAGGGAATGATCATTTTGAACCTGTCATCGTTTTATGGGAGCAAACGTCTGCTTGTTCACATCAGTTTTTAACAAGTTTTCAAGACTTAAACCGGTTAATTTCGTGCATTTTCCAATCAAAGGTATTATTATTATTATTATTATTAACGTACTTTTTCTATCGTTTATATTTTAAATGAATTCGTCTAATATCTTAAATTTTGAGGTATATAAAAAAAGATTACAATTAATTTTTTCGATAACAAAATAAAATTTGCTCACGAGGTTGCAAATGTTTATAAATTGAAGATTTGCAGGATGAACGGCTGTTCATCGGTTGTCATCATCTCCCTCCTCACCCTCTTCACCATCGTCCAACCCCAAGTTTGTTTTCCTCATTCATTTTTGATTGATTAAGATATTTGCAAAGTTATGATTTAGCATGTTAACAACTTTAATTTAGTGGTAGTTTCACTTTCAACGTTTTCAGTCGAAAGTGAATAATTTAATTTTTATTAGTCAGCCCCAATAACCGCAGAGCTGATTTCACAATCATTCTTTAATTGTATCAAAAACTTGGTTTCTAATTATTTTACAGTTACAAGTATTTTTATTATTGCTTATTTTTATGAAGTTAACTGTACTGCGAACTACAAAGTTCATCGTTTCAATACACACGTCACCCAAAACAGGTTCGAAAAATTTTTACTTTTGAATTTGAATCAATCATAATTCAAATCAGGTCAGCACCTTATAGCTGGCTGAAAGAGTAATGCATTACATGGTATTTTTTACTGTCTGAGCTAATTGGTTGACTTTTTATTCTATTGTAAAAATTAAGAAATCATTTCAAAAGTAGGTAGATTCCATTAGTTAGAAATTAATAATTAATGATTTCATGATGAAATTTTGCGGCACTTCCTCTGAGGTTCCACGACGAATTTCTCGTCCTCAACTTCTTACGCTGTTATTTTTTCAACTGAATATTTTTTCAACTTTTGTGTGTAAAACATTTTAGCAACTTAAAAGAATTTAAAGATTGTTTGATACCACTGAAGCACTTCACATACAATTTTTATATAATTCTTTATGCAAAAACAGCTGAACTAGAAATTAGAAATTTGAAATGGATGGTGGTGAATTTGCTCGTCTATACATATACGCATGTACACTGTGTGGTGTGGTTGTACACTGTGTGGTGGGGTTTATACACTGTGTGGTGAGGTTGTACGCTGTGTGGTGGGGTTGTATCTACAAATACAGGTGTACATCTGCAGTGGGAAGAACATGCCGCTTTTTAAGAACAAAATTTTAATTTTCAACTAGTAGATTAGGAAAAATTTGTGAATTACTTTTTGATTGTCAGAACTTTATAGTAAAAAAACAAACAACGAGACAAAATGTAGAGTGTGTATGCACGGACAAAAACATTTTGTCAAATCAACTTGTTACTGAATGTAACATATTGCCAATTATCTTTATCTGGAAACTGAACGAAATTATTCATTGTTGGATGCATTTTAAACATTTTATTGTTGGAAACAGGTCAGCATTGTGATTGCTCTATTGTGAAGTTAATTTAATTAAAACTCGCCCTGTAGAACATATATCGTATTGATTTAAACCAATGAGGTGCTTGTCAATATTTATTTTCCGTCCGAAGCATTCCTGTCAGCATCTGCTGACTGCTTTGAAATGAAGTAAATGATGACTTTGCTCTGGCTGCCATGAAGCAAGACATCTGCAGTTTGTTTGAATTCAATTTGAATTTTACACTATCAACAGAAAAGCTCTTTTTTATTTAATTTTATTCAACAAATAAATTTTTTTGCTTATTACCACATAAAAACAAACACACACACACATAAAAACAAACACACACATAAAAACAAACACAACGCACACATAAAATCAAACAAACACACACACACATAAAAACAAACACAACGCACACATATTCGGTGCACGCAAAACATTTTAGTGCAAGTTTGACTCGGATACCTGCTGTTCAGTTCATAGTTTTTAATGGTTAATTGATATTCAACATTTTAGATCTGAATGTCCTGTATGACGTGTTCAACAAATTTGTTTTTTTTTTTCAAGTTATTTGTTTTCTATTATATTATCAACGTTGTGTTCACTTCCAAGACACTCTGGAAAATGAATTTGAAAAACCGCCTGCATACATAAAATTTAGCCACAATCAAAAGCCTCTAAAGTAAAAAAAATATTAATTTCAGTAACATCCGTCACATTTTCTAAAAATTTATTTTTTGACATAAAACATGTTGTTAACGTAATTCTACTGCAATGTTTTTTCTATGACATTGTAACTTACTTGGACGATGTATCCAATGTTTCACGCATGTTCAACGTGCAAGTCATTATTTTGAATCGCGTCAACATGACTCGTGTAATTAATATTTGTCTCGACTAACATCTTCAAACTCTTCCATCATCAATAATAACTTTGCTCCATCAAATTTAGTTTTATTCATCATTCATGACCAGTGTTAACGTTGTGATCATCTTCGTTGCCACCATCAGCATCGTCACCATATTGTCATCAATTTTTCTTATTAGCATCATTATTGCAAGATAAACTCGAGGTTTAGAGACAGGTTTGTACTTTGCGGGCTGTGTTGGAACAATAAAATACTTGTAAGTTCTGCACCACACCTCATCCACGTACTTACATGCAGTTACACGTACCTACGGAAGAAAACAGATCTTTTTTAACTTGTTAATTGTTTTACAAGATTCAAATGTAACAGTAAATAGCTGTCATATCATTGAACGTTTATAAATATTGCATTTTTTATGCAAAACAACTCATTTTGTAAGAAAATTTTAAGATATTTTCCGTTAGCAAAACGTTACCAATGTAGTAAAAATAGCTGTAATCTAAAAATCGATAATTGCCCTCAGTGACAATGAAACTTTCAAAATGCAAACAAATGATAACATTTTAAAGTATCGAGGAAGAAAAATACAGTGTATTATTTCAATAATATTCCCTAGAACAAATGTGCACTCATGTGACGGATCAATTTCAATAATCATGTAAGAAAGATTTCTAATGCGTCTGTTTTTTTAAATGCAAATAATTATTTTGATTCAACTGGAACATCATCTGAGCCGATCGAGTTTTTAAGAAGAATAAAAGTCAAGGAAGTTGTAATAAACGTTGGCCATCAAGCAATCAATCAAGAAATTTATATGTCCATCCTATTTCTAAACTTGTTACTATGAAAGACATGTGTGCTTCTGGGGCCGATGGCAAGAATGACAATATACAGATTTCACATCTAAATGAACAAATGTTTCATTTGTTTAAAATTATGTCAAGTCACGAGCCAACTATTAATGTCTGACAACGTGAAATTATATGTAAGTATTTTGATGTTTCGTCCATTGTCCTTTTGAGGATGAACTCATCAGTGCAAACGTGCGTGAACACATGTTCATGTTCTATACAGGAACTGCAGGGAGAAGAACACCTACCTCACAGATAGATGGATGGATGGTTGATGCTTATCTTTCCAACTACAATTTAAAACATCTCAAACTTGCAGTGCACTCTTAATACATTAGTACAACGCAACGAAATAAATTTACATGCTTTCCAACGTTAACAAATTCAAAATTGCACCATGCGCTGTTTGCATTCGTGGTCGGTGAGATTGTTTCTCTCAGATGTTTTCAATTGTTTGATTTAAAAAGTTAAATCGTTAATTCTAGCATACAATTTTTGTATTCATGGGCAAGCAGTCTTCAATATCTCGTGCACAGGTACGGACTCATCATTCACGCTTAACGTAACGATACTTGAATATTTTCTAGCTTGGCTGTACATGTCTAACCCATGTTACATTCGTCATTCAGAAAAATCTTCTCACTGTTTGACAAAGTTTTTTTTTAGATTTGTACACAACAATTCATAAATTACCGATTTATTTTTTAGTAATTTTTTAAATGGTAAATATACAATTGAAAATTGAACAAAATTTTAAAACATTCAATCATACAATTGTTATTCAAGAACACGAGAAAATAAACTTAAATTTCAATCCCATCAAAATGCCCTTCTACGAATGTTACTATGCTATGTATGTACTACTTGACCTTTAACTTTTTTGCACTTTTCAGACATTATCATATTCGCTTCAGGAGTTTTCGATGTCTAACAAACGTTTACACTAAAAATATAAATGTGAATAGCCGACAGTGTAAGCGAATCAATTTGTGGAAGAAATTAACATTATGTTTTGTTATTTTGTTGTTTTTTTCAACAGCTTTTCATTGAAAATTAATTTTGAAGTGTTCATTTATTAATTGCAAAAAAGTTATGCAATCATTTTCCCATCACCTTGTGTACAAGCGCCATCTGATATCTGGGAATACATACGACTCCACACATATTTTTAACTTAATTAATTTTTTTAAGCAAAAATAGCGATGTCAAAAACCTTTTTTGAATAAAGAGACAAAAATATAAATAGAACCATCGAGATAAGCTTTTGTGAAAATTTATATTATTTACAATATAAATTCAATCGAATAAAACTTTGATTATTGATAATATAAACTTATTCGAATTCACATTTGAATGATTATTTTTCAATGAGGCATGTGCTTTAAATATATTTATCGCATCATTTTCAAAGCCATTTAAGGAAAGCATTTCTTCCAAATCATTTGCCAACCAACCGACTAGTAAGCTAGTCAACCAACCATCAGTCAACCAGCAAGCTAGCCATCAAGCGATTAACTAACCAATTAACCAACTAACTAGCCAGCCATCCAATCAATCAACTAACAAGTCAGCTAACCAATCGACCAACCAACCAACAAACCAACCGATCAACCAACCAACCAACAAACCAACCGATCAACCAACCAACCAACAAACCAACCGATCAACCAACCAGCCAACAAACCAACCGATCAACCAACCAACAAACCAACCGATCAATCAACCAACTAACCAACCAACCGATCAGCGAACCAACCAGCCATCAGCACCTGCTAATTAGTAACGCTCTCGTCCTTACATCCTCCGTCTCATCTGCTCGCCACACTCCCCGGCGAGCAACAATAAAGCTTACCTAGTTTAGCGATGCATGTCATCTTTTGCCGCATGACACGTACGTCACGTCTCATTGACCTTTCATGACCTGACCTTCAAAAAACGTACGCACATACGTTCGGTGTCTTAATGGGGTTCATATCTCTGGGCTGAAATTAACAACTGACCATGGTGATGATGGTGATGACGACGACGATGATGGTGGTGATAACAAAGACGATGATGACAAATATATCATGGTAATGAACTAAATGATATTGACAATGATTTAAATGTTAACATTGAAAAAAATGGTGTCAGTGTAGAAATATTAAAAGAAGAAAGAGGCATTTTTATTTAAAAATTGTAACTAAATACATTTGTGGATCTGTAAACTTTCGATTCAGTATCTTCAAACCGGGAGAAGTTTCCTTCTCGAGGGGCCGTTTGAAACGTACTGATACATCATTTAAAAAATCAGCTCACTGAAGTTTAAAAAATTAAAAAATTTATGTTAAATTACAATTTTTAACGTGAATGCATATTCTGAATACAAAAATGAAACAACTACTAATTCTAAACCAATTTTTTTATAAATTTTATTTAACTCGCTTTACAAACCAGTAGATTGATGTTCACCATGCAGAATACAATGCTATTTTTACGTTAAAGGTAGGGAGAAAGCACGCCCATTAATGAACGTTTTTCAAAGGGTTTGAGGGTATGGCATAAAAAATGGCTGAGAAACGTTGATGAAGAAGATGTTAACAATAAAACTGATGATGCAGATGATGATAACAATAAAACTGATGATGGTGATGATGACTAAGGTAACATCATTGGAGAGAAGCTAGAATGAATTAAACAATTATAGCGATATGAATTATTTATGTTATCTTTTAGAAACTGTATTTTATATCTCTCGACGCACTGTTTCTTTCACTTTTCAGTCTAGCATTTACAAGTCTTTGGACGACATTTGTGTTTTTATGTAGACGTGTTTGTGTAGAATAGGTTTCGTAGCATCAGCAGAAGCATATTGTCAGCCGATGCCTGCAGTTAGATTGATAAATGATGTTCATCGCTTCGAACGCCACAACAATAAGCTTCCTCCTCCACTACACTTTCCATATTATGAAAACTAATTCATCCAATTAATAATCTAAATATTATTTCCAAGATGTTGTAAGCCGAAGTTGTTAGTTTTTACATTTATTAACGATCGGTTATAGGAAAGAAAAGGCCGCTGGGAGCCAACAACATCCATCAATCATTGAACGAGGCATTAATCTGTCATCACTTCGTTATAAGGAGCGTATAACTTACAGTTTTTCAATGATCGTCCAATATGTTAGAGGAATGACTTATCTAAGTCGCATCCTTTAAACTGCCCGCTCGAAAGCTTTTTTTGGATGTTTTCATGCTTTTTTTTACCGTGTTTAAAATAACAGTTATTGTCCGATCTGAATCGGCGTAAATACGTTTATTTATTTTGTTCAATGGTGCTATGTTGTGTAATATTATAAAATATTTAAATAATGTGATAAAATAATCTGTAATAGATAGAAATAAGTTTAATTCTTTTCAAATGAGTTACTGAAAATAATCTAACATATAGCTTTCCATAGATTAATTAAGGCAATCATTTACACTTGATTTCATAATCTGCGTTTCGTTTTTACTGGAATCAGCTTTAAACTCTTCAAAGTATTGTTTTTGATTTGATAGCTTACAATACTTCATTCCTGTTAAGTGTGCTTGCACCTGAATATATAAGTTAGAACAATAAATTAATACCAAAATATTTTCATTGATGGCCTATTTTGGATGCTTTTTTATATTCACTCCAAAGAATGCTAAAAACATTCTCATGCTTAAGAAATATTGCCAACTAACTTAACTAATTTAACTAAAAACTAGGTTCTCCAGACTACATTTTGTTAGTACTATACAAAAACAAATTTGAGGAATTTTGTAAAAAAAAATCATTTTTAATAAAAAAAAGTATAAATGAAACTGTACAATCATCCAAAGCTAGAGTTGTTTACAGCTTCGGAAAAAATAATTTGGTCACGTCGTTTGGAGGTGTGGTAGGAAATAAAATAATATTTCAATCATGTCATCTTGAACGCGCACTCCATTCCATGCAGTCTCTATAACCGACCTTTTATGTATGAGGATAGGCCGGTGTTGAATATTTAAATGTGAAAAGTAATTGTGAACGTGATGAAAAAACCTTTTTGAATCATTTTTGTTTTTATTATAAACTGTGTTTAATGCTGCTGTGTATTTATTTAATATTTTAAGTAGGGCAACAAAATGTTTGCTTGTTTGCAGTTGAAATATTATGAAAAACAGCAAAGCACTTATGACATTCAACTATTTCAACTAAAATATTTTGGCTATTACCACTATCTATAACGTTTTTGATGGTCCAACCATATGACAGAGAGTCGCAAGGCATAATCTTTTGTAGAACGTCAAATTACCGACATAAACATAAAAATAAATTTTGAGAAAAAATTACCATAAGTATAATTTTCCAGGGAAATGAAAGGCCATCTTGGTAACAGTTGTTTTGTATCGCCATAATTTGTTATGATACTGTCTTCCATCTTGAGTTTGGTGAATGAACATCATTTGTTTGCATACTTATTTTTTATATATTTCCTTAATTAATATTTATTTTTTAGGATCTTGTTACCTAAATACAGTTTATGAAAAATATATAATTAATTAATTTAATTTAAATAACATAATAGCAACTTCAGTGATAGAGATCACGAAAAGAAAAAAACACTTTTGTTAAATTTAGTCATGTTTGTATTAATATAAGTAAGTGTAACGTTGTACTACCACTTAGGAATATGGGAGGAAACTCTCGAAAGAGGGCAGTCTGAATTGGTCTGACCTGATGAGAGCTCCCAACCTTCAGTCACCCTCAGCCATCCACAAACGATCAACTGATGCACTGGATAGATACTACCAACCACGTGCAATGGCAAGGGACTACGACCAATCAGGGCGTCCGATGAGGTGGAGTTACTTGCCCTACGACGAAGGCAGATACTTGAAGATGAAGAACAACGCAAGGATCGATAAGAGGTTCGACTCCGTTGATTCATTCGCCAGTGACGTGTTTGGTCTCCTCGATAAGAGATCCGAAAAATGAATATAGATTTTTAACTTTTATTAAAATATTTAAAAGTTTTATTTTAATTTGCTGATGTCTAAAAATATTTTTCGAAAATTTTAAAGTTGTTTAATCCGATGTTTTAAATTAAAAGATTAATTTTTAAATTTGAAATTATGTCATTAAAATTATAAAAAAAAACTGTTGCCCTGTTTCTCTTCACCGTCGATACAGAACCAAAGCTATCTCAACTATTAAAACGAAACACGTCCGCAAATATTCCGATATTTCAAAAAAATTGTTATAAATAATCCTCCACGATGTTACTGGAAGGTTTTATGAGATATTTGAAATTATTTCTTTCTTCATTCCCTTTCATGTGTTGCTGTTTTGCCTATACATTTTTGAAATTTGAAAGTAAAGAAACATTTTATAATTAAGTAGGTAGAGTTGAAACATAATTTCTTATTCTAAAGTGCCTGCTTTCTATTTGTCCACAATTTGAAGAATTTTTAAAAAATGTGTGTGAAATGATATAAAGAGTAGGTGCAAGAAGACAAGTATGTAAGTGGCACTACAGAATGTACCAAAAAATGTAAGAGGCATGAATGAAGTAATCGTGCGCGACCTCCATCGTCAAAAGTGAATTGAAATTAAAAACTTTTTAAAATGTTGAATTAAACTTATTTTAAATCTATTATTTCAACTACTATTTTAGACGAAATTCAATTGAGCACTCGTTTCAAGTCTGCTCTTGGTCTCAGTATATTCTTCCTTATTTGATTTTTAAAATGTTTTGATATTTGAGCTTCCCTGTAAAAATGAAGTTTGGGTCTTTCTGATTATTATTTGGTATGTCTTCTGAGATTGAACAATTTGGCTACAACATTTTCTGAATCAACAACGTATTGATCACATACCGTCTTATCTCACCAACATTCATGTGGTAAATGCTTAATAGTGCATTGCTCAAAAATGCAAGTGTTCTTTCAAATGGACCACCTTTCAGTTGTTGGTTCACCTCATTGCTCATCCAATACGGTTATAAACGGTTGTAGAGACAGAAACGGATGGTTGGGATTTTTACGTTGATACTTCTTATACACTTATACATATGAAGTGACACAAATTTGATTCACAGCGAGGATTCAGAATTCGGATAGTAGTCAGTAAAATTTTTGTATCTTGTAAAATCATCAAGTCTATAATTCGTTTTTGCTCAATAGGTGATCTTGCATTGTTGAGTTGGATATATTTGATCTTTTGCATTTGATACGAAAACCTCTGCTGTCTAATTTTAAATTTATTATGATGATCTAAAAATACATGTGTGTATATTTTATTGTAAAAAAATTTAAATGTTTAAGAAAAAATTCATAAAAGTTAAAACGATCTGCTGTGCATCTTAGCAGGCCAACATCTTTTGTTTTTAAAAACTTCATGCCAAGACCGAACAAATACATTTTGATTTGATATTTGAAATCTAAATATTTTTCAAGAAATGAGAAAAATGGAATGGTTAATTTTCGATCCACCCAAATAATTTAGTATCACGTAAACCCTGATAAGACTCATATATTATCTGAATTATCTACCTACATTATAAATTTAAAAAACATGCAAATAAAAAAAAGCTAACATAGGCTTTGAATATTTTTTCACGTTTACTTTTCCAGCCTAACAAATCGTACAGCACTTGGCATACATCATTATGTCCATATTTCTCCTCGTGTTATTCTCAGCAATTTTTTCAAGCTCCGTTGACCTGTAAATTGAGCCAGTTAACTGTTAAATGTGAAAAAAAGCACATTCAACACCGTGTTTTTTTTAAATTTGTAGTATTGTTGTATGAATGAATATTTGTAAGCGTAAATATTTTTTCTAAACGTTTGCTCGTTGATTAGATAGATTAAGTTGGATTATTTTGTAACAAAAGACAAAACAGATAAATAAATAACCAAACTACAAACGAAATAACTATTTTAGTCTGAAAAAATTACCTCTTAAATTTATGCTGAATTTGTTGTTTATTTGTAGATCGAACTGAAATTTTTGGGTAAAAAATGTATAAATCTTGGTTGCCAAATATTTTTAAAAATGAATAAAAAGCCACATTTTTAGAAACTTGTTTCAATTTTATTGCCACTTTTTTATGCGTTTAGATGCAATTACAGTTAAGATAAAAAATTAAAAACTTTTCGTGTTTTAGTTTTCGCAGTTATGTGGCTGAAGCTTTAAACTATTTCTTAAAAATTCCAATTGGCAAAAAATCAGTTTTTAATGAGTTCATAAAAATTGGAACTAGACTAATTATTTTTCACATAAAAATTTTTTTCTTCTTGTTGATCAACGAGGAATAAACACCTTGAAGCACGCGCAAAATTAAATAATACCGCCCTTGCAACGCTTCTCAATTCAATTTCCTCGTAAGAAGTTCTATCAACCTGACAAAATTAAAATTAAAACAACAAGCAATTTTCACGCGAATCTAAAAGGAAATCTATGATTTAATTCAAACGATTAGTGCATCGAAGAACAAACATTGAATATACTGAAGAGATTTATAGCAGGAAGCAGGACTAACATAACGTAGTGTTAAGTAAGTACATATGATATATACAGCACATTGTTGCATGCGATGTAACGCGTGCTTCGAAAGTAAACTCCTCTCACTCCATTTTATACTATTCTTATCTTGAGTGTGTTTCATTTAACGTTTAGATAAAAGTAGCATTAATTATTACAGAATTCTTTTTTAGTTTAAATTTAATAAAAATTTAATTATTATAAATTTGGTGGATTAATTTCAGTAGAATATCGTGTAAGTTGAAACCAATGTAGCATGTTCTAGTTGTAAAGCGACCGATAGTTTAAAAAATTAAATCAGCAAAGTTTGGTGAAATTTGATAGAAGTGATTACGTCATTCAAATTTATTTTTAAAGTATTTAAAATTAAAAAACAAACAGTTGTTTGAAATTTTTGTTGTAACGTTGAAAACTTGCGAGCATCACAAAAAATTGGACAACCATTGGAAACATCACCTAACATCAACAAACGTCTAAATTATCGAACACATCTTCCCCCCGATGGAAGATCTCAACGTCAGCAGAGACTGCAAAACTACAAAAAACTTTAAAAATTTTGACAAAACCTCCACCACCACCACTACCACCAGCAATGACACCAGTGAACAAAACACATCCACAAAAATTTTGGGCCAACAACATCAACACGAACCAGCACCAGCAAGAGCCACATGCCATAGATATTTATCTCGTTACGTGAACAAATTAAAATCTTCCCTCGAATGTTGTTCACTGATCAACGTCATCATCGCCATCCTCTTCATTCTCGTCATATTCCAATATGGAGTCTCGATTAATTGCTACTTTCAGCTGTCAACAGCTTTGGACAGGTTGGATAACATTGACAGGGAATTTGAGCAAATAAAACTGCAACAACTGCACAGGTACACAGACTTACAACAACAACAACCACAATCATTACATCAGCAAGAACAATCTTCAGATGAGCAACAATCTCAGCAATTACAACATCAACAACAATATCATCAACTTCTCAACGAGGTGGTCTATTAAATTTTTTCTTCATGTAAATCTTTTTCAAATTAAAAAAGTATTCTTTTTATTTGTTTGATGATGGATATATGAGCAAGAGAGTTTTTCAAAAATACTTCCAGTCGTGCGATGTGATGTGGTGTTGTGTGATGTTGTGTGGCGTTTTGTGGTGTGGTCTAGTGTTGTGTAGTCTTGTGTAGTGCTTCAATCTGTGCCACCATACGTCCAATGCATTCTTTCAATGAAATTATTCATTACCAGATGCACGCTATTAAACTGATAATAAATTGAAAAACACATATACAAGTTAATTACTGTCGAACCGAAATGCATCCTCACCAAATTACTTCTGCCGTTGATTTGAAGATTAATTGATGTTTTTGCTGAGTTCGGTGTTGTTATTTATATATATATTCCTTCACACAAATATTTACTTGATTAACCTGTTGAATGAATGGATGGATGGATGGATGGATGGATGGATGGATGGATGGTCGGATGGATGGATGGATGGATGGATGGATGGATGGATGGATGGATGGATGGATGGATGGATGGATGGATGGATGGATGGATGGATGGATGGATGGATGGATGGATGGATGGATGGATGGATGGACGGATGGTCGGATGGACGAATGAACGAATAAACGAATGAACAAATGAACAAATGAATGAACGAACAAATGAATGAACGAACAAATGAATGAATAAATGAATGAACGAACGAACAAGCAAACAAATAAATGAATCGTTAAATAAATAGATAAACAAATAAAATACGTATAAATGAAAAGCACAGTTGTGTGTGTTGTGTGTTGATTTAATGGCAACTTGTTACTGCAGTTAACATTGTGGAGGTGTATGTGGTGTGTTTGTTGGGTTCAAACATGAAGAAGAAGATGATGATGATAATGATAATAACAATAACAACAATAATAATAATAATGAATATGAATATGATGACGATGACGATGATAACGGTTGTGATAGTATGATGAAAATGATAACAATGGTAATAATGATGATTGCATTGATGATGTTTAGAAGATGATGATATATTGATATCGGTATCATGATAACGTCTACCAATAAATTTCGTAAGTATCGTTAAAAACTATTTTGTTTCATATTAAATTGCATAGAACCGGTAGATTTCTTAGCTATATTTCAGTTCTCATTAAGCCTTGTCTAAATATTTTGTTGAATCTTCATAATTCTTCAATTGAACAATTTGTTGGCGGAGTTGCTTAATATTGTTTTTTTTCTATGGATTTGTTTCTATTCAGCATTTGGTTAGTAGACCAACTTTCATGACGTGCCTCTTATTGTTTGACCAAAATGTGCATGGAGAATTTCAAGTTTCCTGTCTGTTGATGTTTGCACTCCTCACTTCTTCTCAAGGAAATCATGTTTGCACTCCTCACTTCAGCTCCAGGAAGTAATCTCGCTAACGAACACCCAGAGAAGGCTGAACAGTTCCAAATATTTCCTCGCTCGTTAATACTTTTCGAGCTGAAATCACTTAACGCTTTTTTGCGAAACAACATACCCGTTGGTCATGTGTGGGTCATTTAAAACATACTAAAACTAACACCACGCACGCACACACACACACACCATACCATACAGACAGACATATACAACGACAATGACAACGACGACAACAGCAATGTAATGCGTTCGTTGTAAGAATAAAACAGATGATAACCACAATGATGCGCTTCGCTTCGTATTGCATGTACTTTCGCAGACCATAAAACATCAGTTTGAAAAAACAAATGCCTAGACGGTCGGCCGGTTAATGCGAATGAAGGATCGGAATGTTTGAGGCCATTTGAAGAGGAGTTCGAAAATTATTGAAATGTTTGTTTGGTTGAATTCAGGCAGCATGTTGTTGTGTGTTTATTGTTTTCACTTGCTTGTTTCTTGTGGGTGTTGTTACCGTTACAATTTAGAGCGCGCAGAAGTTTGAAGGCTGATTTATGATTTATAGAATGCTTGTTGAATGGATTTTGATTGGTTGATTGTTTGTTGATTGGATATTGATTGACGAATTGGTATTGAGTGAATTTTTATTGGTGGATTGCTTGTTGAATGAATTTTGATTGATTGCTCCTTTGCGCGCTACTGGCTGATTGGTTATTGATTGGTTGTTGAGTGATTGTAATAGAGAATGTTCTCCAGCCTCAAAATTGCTGGGTTTTCTGCATGTTCATCATTCCCTCATAAAATTCAACTGAAATCATCGATAAGTAATGCAAACAGCTGTGACTTGTGAGTGTATGCAACGAAAGAGGACAGAAGTTTGATACTCTAAGAGTGTTGCGGTTTGAAACTCTAAGAGTGTTGCGGTTGCGCTAATGTATGAGAACATCAAACCAGAAAGAGCAGTGCGCCGAAGTGAAAAGAAGAAAAGGATAGTATTCGTTTGGACAGACTGGACACGTGTTTCGTCCCTACCGGAGACTCATCAGCAGCTCATGTACCTATCAAGATAGTATCGCAGTTTCTTCTTATATAGCCCCCACAATTTACTTCGTTAGTTTGAGGTGTTTCCATAAATTTTTGAAGATAGTTAGTTTTAATCGTTAGGATTTGCGACCCGATAAGAGGCACAAAGAAAGGAAACCAGATATCAACGGAGTTTTCATCGCATATCTAGAAAACGCAATGAACAAAATGAAATGGAATACCGGTTTACCAGACACACATCAACAAGTTGCTATTCTAGAAGGCTATCTAGGCAAAGCATTTGGCAATGACGGTGGAAACGTTGAAAAAAAGGAGATCCAAATTAACTGTGAATATTAGAAAAACAAATGCAATAGTTTTTTGAGCATACGAACATTATAAAAGTAATTGTAAATAGAAGGGAAATGGAATACATTGAAAAATTTACCCGTCTTGAAAACAACAACACATGAAACTGTTGGAAAGAAATAATTATAATAATAACGATAATAATAATAATAATAATAATAATAAAAGCAAAATGACATCAACATAAAATTCATGAATAAGCTTGGAAAAAATGGAGAATCAAGTACGAAAAAAAAATGAATGTACTATGGGCATGTGACAGCTATATAAAACATGAGAGACGACTAAAAAGAGCATAATTCAAAGTACTGTTTGAAAGGCAATGCTACAGAAATATAAATAAAAAACAAACACATTTCAATTTTTGGCACGATGCAAACCAAAACTCAAAAAAAGATAACCCAACAAGAAATGTACAGATGACCACACAAGGAATGTACAGACAGATGACACGGTGGAATGGTGTGGGATGAATTCGCAATATACATGCATTACTTTACTTACAACCAATTCTAAAAAATTTGATTAATTAGTGTGTTCCTGCATTATGATTATATAGTCATAATCATAGTTTAATTAGATGAAAAATTACTCTATAATTGATGTTTGTGCACTGTGAATGTTTTTTTTAATATGTAATTATTGAAATGAAATGTAATAAATAAATAAAATTAAGTAAGTTATTATTAATTAAGTATTTAATTATAACTATAATGTACTATACTATAATTATACAGTAATTAATTAACTGAAATTAAGTAATAAATGATTCTGTGAAATATTTTAAAATGGTAGGGCCCGAAACAACTGACTATTTTTGTATTGTATGAATGCCTATTTTTAACCATTTTTTAAGTCGAACTTTAACATTAAGCATGTTATAACAAAGAATAAATCCATTAACACGTGTACTGACACGGTTTTGTAGACAAAAATTTTTTGCTAATGAAAGATTTAAAAAAATAGTCTTTATTTCATAGAAATAAATAAATAGCAATTGTTTTTACGAAAAAAATGAGAAACAAAAAAATTGTGAATATGTTTTTAGAGAAAAAATTTAGTTTCAGTCAGTTTTTTTTAATTAATTTAGAATTCTTCAAGAGACTTGCATTATATAAATATTCAGTATTGAAAACAAATTTCACATTTTATTAAATTCTCACCCCAAGATATTTTTGAAACTGAGCAAATTTACAAATGAACACAAAGCGATGGTGTGCATTAAATAAGCGCAGATGAGTGGTTAAAACGACAGGGCATAATGTTGCATTGGCAGGTCTTAAAAGTCTGAACAAGTATGTACGAAGAATCGGAATGATGATTTAAAGTAAGTTTTCATGTATCGTACATACGTAGCACGTACATGTACACGCTCCTGCATTAAAACATATACCGCCATGATGCCACTCCAGATTTCTGCCTTCATTTCAGGGGATACATCATATGAACACTTACATTTAATGCAATGAAGACATTTACTAAGCATTATCTTGGCAAGCAGTCAATCTTTTACATATCAGTGTATGAAGATATGCACGTGCAAGTGCATACATCGATAAAAGTATTCAAACGACTCATGTCTGCTTGGATTATCTACATCTTTCGTTCCTCTATAGAAAAAAGTTAACCAAAGGATGTAAATCTATCCAAACTTGAGCTCATAAATCGTTTGCCACTGAAACAAATTTTATTGTGAGTGAGGTGTATGAAATGGCAGACTTGAATTGAAGCCCTACTGCCAAACAATCTTTCAACAAACATTTTGTGTTGATAATATTTGGTGTGTGCGTGTGTGTCACGTATTTAATAGCTACATACTTGTTTTATGTTGTTGTACCAAAATATGTTATTAAAAGTTTGTTTGTATGTGTTTTTGACTGTATCTAAGTTTGTATTTGAGTGTAGGATGTGTGTGCAAATGTATGCTTGAATCTAGGGACTTGGAGACTAACTTTTGTGTATGTGTGTGTGGTGTGTGTGTGTGGTGTGTGTGCGTGTGTATGGTGTGTGTGTACGAAGGTAGGAGTGTGTCAGAGAGTGCATGTGGGTGTATGTTTCAAAACTATTTGAAAGTAGGCAGGAATATTTGTATATAATCAGATGTTGATAATTAAGAACAGAACCTTGGACGGAGTTGGTACTGAGAGGTGGTGTTTGTTGTTGTTTTTTTTTGTTGTGTGTGTTGTTGTTTGTTTTTG